GAAGTGAACGAGTGAAGGGATGAATCAGTGTGAGGTGAAGTGAACGAGTGAAGGGATGAATCAGTGTGAGGTGAAGTGAACGAGTGAAATGTTTGCTGAGTGAATGAAGAGACGAAGGAAGGAATGAATCAGTGTTTCCTGTCGTCACCTCTCCCACGTAGATCCCCAGGTCCTCCTCGTCGTCCGTCCTGTAGCACACGGTCAGACCCAGCTTCTCCTGCTGACTGGACTTGTACAGCTCCACCTCCTGCAGGAGGAAGAGGAGGAGGAAGAGTTGGTGGTTTATGATGAGGAGCGCTGGTGCAGCTTGTTTTGTGTTTGGTTCAGTGTCGGACAACAGAAATGTCTTGACTTCTTTCTCTTTCTTTTCTTTCTCTTTCTTTTCTTTCTCTTTCTTTTCTTTCTAGACAATTAAACTTTGATTGATTGAACACTGTAAAAGTTTATACATGATATTTATTTATAATGCGCAGCGAGCAGGATGTATATTGATGTTGATGATGACATCATACATGTTTGAACCTGTGTATGTGCTGTTAAATAAAATGTTCAGTAGTGGGAGTTAATGGAAGTTTGGTAAAAACGAGCTAGCGAACAACGAGCTCAAAAACGAGCTAGAGAACAAGATAGAGAACGAGCTGAGAACGAGCTAGAGAACAACAAGCTAGAGAACGAGCTCGAGAACGAGCCAGAGATCGAGATAGAGAACAAGCTCGAGAACGAGCTAGAGAGCACCGGAGCAACTGATTTATTTTGGCGTCAAAAGAGGTAAATGATGTTATCGTAGAAAGAAAACAAGGTAATTTATCTTGATATAACGATGGTGTGATTGAGAAAAGAACAGAGGGAAGGAGAGAGCGAGCAGAGGAAAGATGGAGCATGAAGCAAGAAAGGAGGAGGAGGAGGAGGAGGAGGAGGAGGACGAGGAGGACGAGGAAGTCTCTGTGGCACCAGAAAGTGTTTCCACTTTACTGACTTCTATAATGATCTCAGGAAACAGCAGTGAACCAGTGGAGCAGAGACAAAAAGGACCATTCAGCTAAAACCCGTCCATTAGGCCTCTGAACACTCGGAACACTTCGACGTGTCCCAGAGTTTTTTTGCTTCACGAGCAGAAACCCTGCGTCTTTATGTTTTCACTTTCTGTTTCGTCTCTTCACTGAATCCTCACGTTTCCATCCCTTCGTCCTCCTCTCTTTCTCTCTTCTCCTTCTTGTTTAGTGTTTATGTTTGATTTGATTGTTCTGCTCCTCTTTGTCTCCACTTCCCATTTGTAATACTTGAGACCGTCCTCACCTCGTACTCCAGGTCGTCCTGTCTGTCCACCTCATGATTAGACACGTCAAAGTAGTCGTTGGGGTCATTGTACTCGAACACACAGCTGGGGGGGGTGGGGGGGGAGAGACAAAAAAATCAATCACCGTCCACAGATTTCATATCTGGAGACCTGTCTTTTGTTTTTCTTTGTCATTTGAAGACAAAGGTCGAGACGTACAACTCATTGATCCCGTACGGTCCCTCGAGGTGAGGGAGGGGAGGGGAGGGGGGAGGAGGGGGAGGGGAGGAGGAGCCTCCTCGGCCGTGGTGGTGATGGTGGTGGTGGTGACCTCTGCTCCTCCCCATCGTCATGATGCCCTGGAAGCTGATGTCCGTCTGCGTGGCGTTGTCGACGCAGTCGGGGATGGCTACCATGGTAACAGAGGAGATGGAGGTGCTGCCGGTGCCGTTACCGTTACCGCCGCACACGACTGTACCTGGGGGGGGGGGGGGCACAGAAGTTATGTTTTCACCGTCTGTTTGTTTGTGAGGAAGATGAACTGATGAGCAGCAGCGAACACGATGCTGTGACTTGTTGCTTTGTGTTTGTTTGACTGAACAAAGAAACATGAAGGTTTAAAACATGTGAATGAGAAAAGAAAACGAAAACAGAAACGATGAGTTTCTGCATCAGACGAGATGAAAAGATGGGAGGAGGAGGAGGAGTGAGGAGGAGTGAGGAGGAGTGAGGAGGAGAGAGCGTGGGAAAGACGAGGAAGAAGCAGCTCAGGTGGGAAGTGATGAGAAGAGATGATATTTAAGGATGAGAGGAAGCGGAGGATTCCTGTGAGACAGCAACACAGAGCAGAGAGAACCGACGCTGCAAAGTCAAAGGAGATAAAAGAAAAGACTGAAAATAAAATGTGTGCTCACACGTGTACCCGTCAGAGGTGATTTACCTTTCCTCCTGTGACTCTTACGGACCGAGCCAGGTTGGTGCAAAGGCTCCTGGGAGTTTTGCGGCCTGTCTAGTGGTGGCTGAGAGGTTCTCCGACCTCTGACCTGAGGGTGGGACGAGACTTGTAATGTTATAGATTTCTAATCAAGAATTATAACAAACGGTTCTAAATTAAATATTAAACTGATGAAAAATAAAAACATGAATATAATAAAGTAAAAGACAGAACCAGCTAATGATGAGTCAGCTTTTGTTTAAGCTGCGGGCGAGGAACGAGAAATGTTCAAATTGTGCTGAATGAGGAGTTGGAGGAAAGGTCGGGGGTCTTTAAAACGTGGGCTTCAAGGAGAGAGCTCCGCAAATGTCAAGTCTGCTTGTTACGACAGATTCGAGTCCAGAGACGGAGCTGCAGAACAAATGTGACGCTCCCGGAGTTATTTTCTCTCCTGGACGTTTGTTTCCTCTGTGATTGAAGTATAAATATAAAGTTTGATAAAGTGTGAAGCTTCTGCACACTGAAAAACCTCCTCCGATAAATCAGGGGACAGAAGCTGCACAGGCCACAGTGAAGTGTCCTCCATCCATCGTCAGCTCTACGGGAGTGGAACCTTATTAAAGATGACTGATAGGAGGCAGAGGCAGCGACGCAGCTCCGAGTCTCACCTTCACGTTTCCGTGTCGGTCCATCGGCCGCAGGGAGCTGCTCCATCCTTTCTGCTGATGACACCAACCACAATCAGTTATGACACATTCAGCATGGAAACGTGTTGCATGTATACATTAACATTTTTAATGCTGGTGTGTTGTCACTGTTTCTAAATCCTCTGAGGTCGGAGGCAGCACATCGAGGCTTTTTATTCAACTTGACGGCTGCTTTGGAATTAATGCACGTTGATGCGCAACACTTCGGTTTCGCAGGAGCTGATGTTTCTGTGCAGGTTTTTTATGTTATTGACAATCGAATTCCCATTTTCCACCTCAAAGCTACGTGTGACCAAGTGGCGAGCACGTTGAGGTCGGGGGGGACGAGCAGCCAGTGCTTTGCTCAGAGGCACAAACTGTCTGAGGAGCAGATGCTAATTTAAAGTGAAGTCCGTGGCCTCGGGTTCGATCAGCTGCTCAGACTGGTTCACATGCATCGAGCTGCCGGCGACGCACATCAAGTGTTGTTACTGAGAGCAGAGAGAGATCGACGTCACTCAGAACACGCAGTCATTATTGATGTGTTTCTACTGAGTGTGTGTGTGTGTGTGTGTGTGTAATATACATACTCAGAGATGTTTTTATAATTAGGTTTTAATGTTGAATGTCACACACGCTAATTTAATGTCTGAGGACACATGCTACTGCTTCAACCTGCTACTTCCAGGTACAACACACACACACACACACACACACAGACACACACACACAGACACACACAAACAGACACACACACACAGCTCATGAATACTTGAATGGACGCTCACAAACACACACCTTTCCTCCTCCTCCCTTTGTCTCAGAGATGATTGTTATGCATTACATGTTCTCTGCAGGTTGTGTTTGTGTGTGTGTGTGTGTGTGTGTGTGTGTGTGTGTGTGTGTGTGTGTGTGTGTGTGTGTGTGTGTGTG